TGACTTTTGACGGTAAGCATCAATTGTCATTTGCTTTCTTAACAAGTTACTAGTGTCCCCTCTGTGGTGGGGGAAGCTTTGAAATCCCTCAATTGTTTGAAGATATTGATCTTAGCTTGACTTGGAGTGTGGGACTTAGGTTTATGCTAATTTAAAAATTAAAGTTAAGAAGCATAACTTAGAAGTTGTGGGGATGAAGTGCTTCTCTGGCAGATGTGGGTTTCTAAAGGCTCTTTCATGTTAGAGTAGGTAAGGGATAAGATGGGCTTATGGAGAATGGGTGAGCTGGTCCCAGATTTGAGAAATACGGTTTATTTCCAGATAAATGCATATGTGAGTGTCTGTATAAGCATATGTCCACGCTTGTCCTGCGTGAATGTGAGAAAATTACGTGAATGTAAATTATGTCCTACAAATAATTTTGAGACTTAAGGAGAAGCAGTTTGTATATTAAGCAGTTTGTTAATGCTGGTCTCAGAAGACAGTCCAGGCTTGTGCACATTGAGCTAGGTGCTGTTCTCTGCTATCACATCCTCTGCACTGACTTGAATTTTCAAAGAGGATTGTTTGAGCTAAATGACAGAACTGCAGTTGAATAAAAATAGAGACCTCCCCCTTCTTCCCATTGATACTTCACAGTTATGGTTTCAACTTTGTTTTTGCTCATTTCAATAGAATCAGTTAGGGTCAAGTAGCATTAGAAGTTTTCCTCTGAATTCTCGACAGCTTTGTAGAGTCGCAGGATGGGGGGATTGCGAATGGAAGTGTCTGTGGCAAGCAGAAAGACAGATAAGGAATACTACTCTCCTTAAATGCCAAGGAAACAGTTACACAGAATTAACATCTTTGATAGCCTAATCTGTAGTGTTAGGATTTCTTGTAGGGGTGGTAGTTGGTAATTCTGGGAAAGGTGAGAGAATGGTGCAATCTGCCATTACAGGTTTTCAAGTTTTTCTTCCTAACAAAATGTCATTGATCTGAAGTAGTGAAACATGACTGAAGCCTTGAAATTTTATTTGCTAAACTAAAGAATGTTGAAGGTAGTGGAAGAGCAGGGAGCAAAATACATGTTTATAGGACCTGGAAATAAGCCAAAGTCATTACTTTGTGAAAATGATAGGGTTTTCTGTAAATAATCTAGCTAGAATAGCTAACACATGGGAACTGGGACATAAATTTGGTTCAGGAGACCACAGAGCAGCACACAGCCACCACCTGAGTCTTGTATATTGGATAACCTGTCACTTCTGCTGAGTTCCCTCAGAAAGAACGCACCTAGGAGCAGGGTGGATTTGATCTCAAGTTATTTTTGAATGGCTGAAGGTTCAAAAAAAGGGTGAAAAGGCATAGTCCAGGATATCGGTGAAATTTAAAAAAAAAGAATATGAAAATATAGCAAGCAGGTGGTAGCTTCTGAAGGAAAAAAAAATCCCTTTAGATCATTATACCTGAAGAAAAAGACAAGATGTCTCAGTGCAGAACTCTTCTGTGGGTAACTGTGACAGTTTTCTGTGCACCAGGCAGTCTTTTCCTACCTCGAGAGGAGTTTAGATCCTCTTTTTGTTAGTTGGTTTCTGCACTGCCACCCCCAGTTTCTGGAAATAATATTACACCTTGAGGGACAGTTGGAAAGAATTGTGTCAGAAGTGCTTGTGAAAACAATGTTATTAGTCTCATGTTTACATTAATTGATTAGATAGACTGTTTACAGTTTATGCATCATTTAATGCCATTTCCTTCTGGAAGATCAGTTTAAATAAGGAACATTAAAATGTCCCTTCCAAAAGGATGGTTTTTGTTCCTCCCTTTTCTGATTTATTTTAATTTTTTAACTTTTATTTATTTTATTTGAACAAAATTCTCAGCTCTGAGTCCCTTTGGTTGGTTGATGACTTTGGATCAGGGTATTGCCTCCTGTTTTCTTCTACTTCAGTCTGAGTGTTAAGGGAGGGGATGTGTCAAGGCAGACACTTCAAGTAAAATAGTGATTTTTGCATTTGGACAAAGGGGCTGAATGAAACCATGTGAAAAGTGCCATGACACTTACACAGTACACCAGTAACTCTTCCTTTGCTGTCGGCATAAAATTGTAACATTCACATGTTACAAAAAAATAAGGGGGAAAAAATAAGGACGTTGTGAAGGAAAGCAGTTTCCGTGGTGCCTAGTACGGTATTTTCACCGAACCCAATGTGAGGTGGGGTCTGGTTTATGTGCACTGGAGTCTGAAGGCTGGATTCCTGTCAGATTCCCCCATGCCCAGAGCTCAGGCCACAGCCTGTGCCCACTTGTACTCAGATGGCTTCTGGAAGCACTAAAGGTTGAGGAGTTTGACAGAAACTTGGAGGCACCTAAATGCTAAAGGCTAATTGTATTTGGTTTTGCTTTTTTAAAGTGGTGGGCTGATAGATTGCTAATAGGGAGGCTTCTGGGGACAGTGTTCCCACTGTAATAGGCAACCTGTGTTTTTGAGAGCAACTGAAATTTCTAAATTCCTTTTGAATACAGCTCAGACTCTCTGGTTATGCAGCAAAATGTTTGTTTCTGAGTGCCATGAGGTTAATGTTGTTTCCATAGGGGCAGTTAGTTATGTGAAGAAGTTGTGCCTTAAAACATTTGTAGAGAGTGGTTTTTTTGTTGGCAAGGTTGTATAATGATGGAGAGTTATATAATGATGGAGAGTTTCATGCTTTGCAGAGTGAAAAGAAGCAAGCAAATTAAACTCTGTGTTCTGTGTCATCTTGGATTGACTTGTCACACCTTTTTTGCAACAGGGATTTGGTAGGGTAGGGAAAGGATTCTGAAAATAATTATGGTAATGTAGTTCAAACTACACTGATAGTTCAAAAATATTTTAAAACATATTCTCCAGGCTATAGTGTTCAGACTCTTGAAATGCTGCCTGGGAAGGAAGGCACTGCTAAATTACAATCGGCCATAAACAGAAAATCATATAGTGCTTTCAAGGGGTATATGACAAGTGGATAAATAATTTTAAAACACATAAATAATTTTAAAACAATTAAATTTTAATAGATCTGTGTAGGAAGTAATAAGGTGATAAAAAATAAAAATTTGCTTTAGTTCATAGGTTTGGATAACTCATACTAAATAATTTTGTTCTCTGTGACCAGGCATGCACAGAAGTCATTGAGACTTCATATTTTCTCATATAATTGTACTAACTCTTGGGCTTTTATAAGGTCTCTTACAAGTTAAGAGCATATTCCTTTACCTAATCTTCCAAACTAAGTTGGAAACTTTTTGTTTGTAGTGCCGTCTTACAGATGACAACCAGAATTGTGCACAGTCTTCCAATGTCACGTACTCCTTTTGTATTTGTACAAGCTTGTTCAATCTCGATAGTACAGGGAACAGGGAAGCCTCAAAATCACCTGTGCTGATACAAAATATTTTAAGATTTGCTATGGAGTCTTGTAAATACATTCACTTGCTCTCCATTCATGTTGAATAAATTGTTCTAAGGTACCAACAAATGGCAACTTACATATACTGTTTTTCCATTCATTGCTGTTCTTTATAGATATAAAAATAGGGAGACAGGAAAAAAATAAATGTTCTCATTATGTTTTCTTTAACACATCTGGCTGAGAAATAACTTCTGCTATATTCAATATTTTTTAAATGTGATCTTGCTTTTATAAACCAAATAATAGGGCTACAGTTGGCTGATGACTAGCTAGAAGAATGTGAGTAGCTAAAATGGTCCCTTCAGCTGGGTTTCAGCATCCTATTAAAATTTGCAGTTGGCATCTTTTCAACTAATAAATATTTCATATTAGTTTATAGTTTATATAATGAATATTTTGTGAACACCCGCTAATGTTTCCAAGATGAAAACACAACCCTTCCAAATTTAAAAAAAAGCAAAAGATTTTGATGTTTTTCCACATATTTTGCAGGATTTGCTTTTCCAGAGTGTGCACAGGAAGGTTTTTTCTCTTGAAATTAACCTATATTTACTGTTTCTCTGCTCTAAATATTGGGTTTAGTCACCTGGGTTCAGCGTCATTGTTTTCAGAAAAACCAGTCATGCTCCATGCTTAGAGGTGAGACTCTGAGGAAAAAAAAAAATCATGCTTGCATACAAATATATCCTAGAATAAAAAAGAAGGAAATCTACAGAGTGCACAAAATTGGTTTAAAGATTATTGAGAAGGTCTCTGTGTGTTTCTGGTGGGTGCTGACAGCTCCACTCTGGGGTCAGGTTTTGAGGTGCCTATTGCTCCATGGGGAGTTACTGCTCACCTCATGGGGCTGTGACTTGTGCTGGGGCAGAGACCTAGCAGGTGTTTGTCCTGCAGTCCTGCCTAGTTCAAATGCAGTCATGAGTTAAGCAGTGCTACAATTTGTGTTATAATTAAATAGTGATACAATGCTGATACTGTTCCTGCTGTACCCTGGCCAAGCAGTTGGTGCCTGGTACTTGTTTTAGTGCACAGTGCAGTATTTTACCCTAGGGGGAGGTACATCTTATGTAAAGCACTTGATTGAGAAAGTCTTAAGCAAAGCAAAAAGCAAGACCTTGTAAGGAAGCTGTGCTGACTATTTTATATAATGGCATTTTCTTATTAAGTTCTTTCTGTTCCCCTTGATTTGTAAATCTTTTCAACTTTTGTCTGAAGTCAGCTCTGGTAGAAAGAGGGGCCAAGCAGGAGAAGTGCAAGTGACATGAAGGTGCTGATTTTGTTTGGTTTTGTTCTGCTTTCTGTATGCTTTTCCCTGCTTATACTTCCAACCCTAGTAGCAGATGGCAACAGAAGCCTCCCTCAACCCACACAAATTGATAAGAGTTTTCCAATTGTATTTCTACAGTTGCAGTCTGGCTGCAGTGAGAAAAAAACCCCAGCTAGTGTAGATCCTGGATAGTTGAATACCACTGTTAATGTATTCCTCAGTATAAGTCTTAAGATCTCTGTTTTTCTAATCTGTGTTCCATTCCTTTTTTTTTTTTTCCAAATTAAATTTGCTTATTACAGGCAGAATCAACAAATTAACAGTTTACATCAGAAGATAAGGGAGAATGAAATACGAGCTCAACACGCTAGACTGAGCCATCTTGTGAACTGCGAAGAGCCATACCTGACTAATTTACAGGTAGGGTGAATACTTTTCTTTCAGCAAAGCTTTCCACTGCCCAGTACCTGGCACCTAAAAGCATGTCCACAATTTTCTGCAGGCCAGAGTATAGGGGTTTTGTGATTGTTGATGGCTGTGTAATTGCATAGCTGCAAATTGTGTAGAGAAAGCCTTCTCGAAGTGTTGTAGTTTACCTTATATTTGCAGAAATCTAAGTTCTGTTAAAATCTTGTACATACTTGAAGTCTGATAAAATTAACATAGCAATGAAGAATTGTGACATTATAAGAGCAAGATTTTAACAGCATTGCACGTATGGTAGACCTACAGAGAGATAGTAGGAGAAAAAATAGTTTGATAGGAGAGTATCTGAAACTAACCAATGAGAGATTTTCTGAAGAGGAGGAGGTACTGCTGCCCTGGTTAGATGGTTAGATTTTATGGATAAAATAAATGGAGGAGATGTGAGAAGGCAAACAGACTGGTGGAATACCTTTTGGCAAGAACCTCCAAAGGATGTGGGTTAGTGCTCCTAGGGAGCACTTAGTCTGAAGGGGAATGTCTGGTGGTATTTTGAGAATACTTGTTCCAAGTTTCACCTACCTAGCACAGGTACCAAGTAGCATAAGGATGAGGTAGCAAAGGTTCACCAAGAAATGCAGATCAGTGTGTGGACTGTGGCTGCTTACAGCACACAAATTCAATCTCCAGGCCTTGGCATTTCTAAAAGGCAATGCAGCAAGGGATTGCTAAAGGCAGATATGCAGAGAAATAGCTTTTCTATCCCTCTTTTATTACGTTATCTTTTTCTGTCACAAGCCCTGCAGTAGGATCTCAGCTAGGGTACTTCAGCATGACATTATTTGTGTACTTGGAATAACAGAGCTGTACATCAGGTGAGCGTGTGGTTTGTGTGACAGCAGAGAAATTCAAGGGGAGCCTCAGTTGAACTTAGGTATACAGAGACTTTTTGAGACATCTAGGAATGTCTAGGCTTTTGTTGCTTCCAGATCTTCTTTTACAAAGTACTTTAAAATTTAAGGTTTTAACCTAATTTGTAAGTTAAGAATTTTTTGGGGGAGGGGCCGAAGGAAGAGAGAGAAGATGCAAACAAAAAACCTAGACAAACAAACAAAGGAAACAATATTGCAGAAGCTGAAATTTTAGTGCACATCTTAGTATGTTATGCTTCAAATAAAGCAGCAGGTGCCGTCCTCTTTCATAATTTAAAGAAGATTGAAAGTTTATAATGTATTTGGGTTTCTGTTTGACTTGTATTTGATTTTCTGCTTTCCTTCTATAAGACAAATTTATAAAAGCAAATCTAGTTTAATGAAGGTTTTAATCTTTTAATACTTTGCTGAAGGCGTGTCACTAGTTATTAGTTATTTAATAACTAATTAGTTATTAAGTTAGTTATTTAATTAAAGAAATTATACAGACAGTATTATTAAAGATAACCAATTTATGTTATTAAAAGAATTTTTAAATTGAAAGCCTAATGGGATGCATCTCCTTTTTCATCCCACATGCAGCCAGCTTCCATTTTGTGCTTGTCTGTGTCTGGGCAGTGGAGATGGAAGTTTTGGTATACAGAACAAAAGACAGGAGACCTGCCTTCTGACTACAGCTACAGCTCTACTCTCAGGCTTGTTCCTGAGTGATAGCTCTGATCTTTGACTAGTATTGATGTTCTGCTTTAGGAGGATCTTGAGATTAAAGTGTCTCTTACTTCAGTATATTCATAGCAATTTTAAAGTATTTTTCTTCTGAGGACATGATATGATAATACAGTGGTAGTAATTTGTTTTGAAAATGCTTTTTATCTGCATTTATGGAGATTTATTTTAGGACCACACATCTTCCATAAATCTGAGGGGGAAAGTAGCCACACAATGTTCTTGTGCATTTATTATGAGTGTAAAGGTGTCCAGTTTCTTTGTCTTTTTGCTTCAGATTGCTGAAACTCATGCTGTTGCCATGTATTTCAATGTTTGAAAAATCAAACCCCACCCTTCCTGACAGCTAAAAAAAAAAAAAATGCAGGACTGTTTTCTGCTCTGCAGTTCAAGTGTACAGTGGTGTGCGTGTGTTCATTTGTGTGATTATTTTATTTCTTTTCATAAGCAACCACAGTATGAGAGCACAGCACTGCAACCTCACATTTCAGAAAGATCAGCATCCCACCTCGAGGAGCTTGAGCGAAAGATTGCAGCAGCTGAGAGCAAGGAATTGCAACTCAGTGAAATTGTGAAACAACTTTCAAACAAATCTAGTGAGGAGAAAAAGAAGATGGAGGAGAAAGTAAGTGTCTTTCCTGATCCACATTTCTTTTTTGTCACTGTTGCAGCAGCATATTTTTGCTAGAAAGCAACTCGATATATGGGTGTTGGAGTTATTTTCAAAAGATCACTGAACTATCCGTGATAGAAAAAGAAGATTAATGATTTCAGGTGTTGGTAATGGATAAATCTGGACTTGCAGAGAATATATCCTAGAAAGTGATACTAGCTAAAATGGTAATCATGGTAACAGTTTTAATCAGGTATTGGTTAAGCTTTGGAAAAAAAAAATGCTGCTCATTCTTGTAGTGTTTATTATGTAAATAAAATATCATTTAAAAACATAGATTGTGAAAATTAAATCCTTATTTTTAGTATGGTTTGTAAATGTGGCCCTCAGACTTTGAGATGCACTTACCAGCCTGTATGTGCCTATTTAGCAGGAGTGATTCTCTTGTAGCTTTCTTAGAATGTGCAGAGTGGACTTTAGTCTGAGACAAAGATAGCTGTGTTCTTGGAACTGTTTTGACAAAGGGTTTCTTAGCAGGCGTAAGGAATTCCCAGGGATAGCTTTGAATGTACTCACAGCCTTCCTTTATTGCAAGCAGGAATGTGTCATTCACCAAGGGGTTTCTGATTAATGTTTTAGGGATACATTGTCACTGTTACCTCATCTTCTTTGATTACTGGACTTAATTTATATTAAATCAGGTTCAAGGGATACAGGCAATGTGATGCAGTGAAGTGCCAGGTGGGAAGACAAAGAAGAATGCATAATTCATCTCAAAATTGTGCCTTACCATTTCCTTTGAACCCTCAGTATGCTTTTCACTGAGGCAGGAAGAGCAGAAGTTGGATACTGCTGCTTCCTCCTTTGTGAGCTTTTCCTGCCTGGATTGCTCACTGTGTAGGAACTGGCAAGCAGTGGCAGTGGTGGGGACCTGTGCAGCAGTGCTTGTGTTAGCAGCATGGTCTGTAGGTTGGACCCTGGTTCCCTGGTTCTCTGCACAGTCCTGATTTGCCCCTCAACACCCATCCATTCTGTGCACTGAACAAAAAGCTCTCAAGGAGAGAGAGGGCAGGGAGGGACAGTGGAAAATACTCCTTTTTGCTGCCTTTCTTTCCAGTTTTTGGTCTAGGTAATAAAGCAAAAGAAGTACCAGGAATACAAATAAATGTAACATAATACAAAAAGTCTTTTCCAGGCTCATGGAAAATTGAGGTACCTACAGAAAAGGTGCTTAAGAAAGCAGCTATTCTGATCTGATATCCTCTGATGTGGTTGTCAGACTGCATCAAAATCAGGATTTTGGCTTCCATTTTTGGTAGGTTAAGTTCTTGGTCCTCATGTTTTAAGTTATTTTCCTAGTCCAGAGGAACTAAAATGTATCTTGATTATTTGTTGCATATGAACATCTCAGTGGGTGAAAGAATTAACAGTATTTTAAGTGTTGAACTTTGTGTTTTCAGTTCATGAGGCACATGGATTGTTCTGGGCAGAGGTGAAGCAGCTGTGGTTTGAGGACACGTGTGGGCCTGTAACTTGAAGCTGTTGGGATTAATAACTTTTGGTTTTGTTTCCTGCTCTTAGCCAATGCTTTCATGCAGCTGAGAGTACAGTTCTTGGAGAGTTAACAGCCTCTGCTTCCAAAGCAGGCTTATTTCTTACTGTTATCATAAAGCATGTACTCTTTCTTTCTTCTAGCTTAAAACTAGAGACCGATATATTAATAGCCTGAAAAAGAAATGCCAGAAAGAGACTGAGCAAAACAAAGAAAAGCAAAGACGAATTGAAACATTGGAAAAATACCTGGCTGACCTTCCAACACTGGATGATATAGAAGGGCAGACTAAACAGGTAAGGTAAATGGGGTTTGATTTACATTTAAAAGATATAAGTCCCTAATATAAGATTAAAGATACAAGTTCCCTAATACCTGTTCTCAAATCTTTTACTGTTTCAAAATCTCCTTTTTTTCACCCTGACATTTAGGAAGAGAAGTATTTCAATCTTTTAGAGAGCACTGTAGGTATTAGGATTTTCTCACAGTCAGATAAGCAGCACTAGTGTGAAACTATGCAGCAGGTCACTGCAAGGCTGTGGTCTGACACAAGACCTTCTGCTGGTGTGACACTGTGTCTGACTAATGTAACCTTGTGTTAGCTTCAAATTCTAGAAGAGAAGAACAAGCAACTTCAAGAAACCATGGCTGAGTTGGAAAAGAAGCTCGGAGAGGCCCGGTCACAGTGCAGAGAGAGAGAATTACAGCTGGCATCGCAGAAGAAAAAAGAAAAAGAGCTGGTCACAACAGTGCAGAGGTATGAGCAGCTGCTCAGGCTGTGCCCTGCAGTGGGTGTGCTTCCCCACCTGATGTCAAGACCTAATGTTATTTGCAGTCTTAATCTATTACAATGCTAATGACTTTTTATGGTAAGGGTTTTACAATGTGCTTTGTGGCAAGTTGTAATTAATACCACAGAGAAGAGTGAGCCTAGGATGTTCTTTGCTATCTGTCTTTAAGGGTGTGGGACACTCCCGCAATGGCGTCATGGCCTGTTGGCAGATAGAGGATGGAACAAACTGGTGTGGCAAGGGGCATTCTGTAGAAGCTGTCAGTCGGGCTATGTAATAACTGATCCTGTCATGAGCTGTGGAAAAACTGGATATTGGCTGATGGGTATATCAGGGAAGGGTCAAAGATTTCAAGAAATTCCAGCAATTTCTTGCCTTTTCATCAGGGGTGCAGGTATTTACGAGAAATTTTGCTGTAGGTAATAGGTTGTCATTGAACTTGCCTAAATATGAAAAAACAAATGGGACAGATATCCAAGAATATCCAGGTAAAACTTTGTTACTATGTTCTGTTTTAGATCAGGGGACCTACTTAAACAATTTTATTTTTTTTTTTTTTAATGAAAGGGAAGAGTGAAGCAGGGGAGAATCACTTTTAAGTATCTGTGGATGTTCCTGCAGTTTGTTGTCCCTCCATTGGGTAAAGGTGCATGCCACAGGAGTCTGAAAGGTTTCCATGCTGAAAGGCGAGCTGGCTGGGACACCTTGCCAGCCAAATTGTTGACACATTGTTTCCATCTTACCAATGGAAGGCCTTCGTGCTCTCCTAATCTAGAGGGGGATCATTCTGTCTTTTCTGAAAGCCTACAAATAGTTGGGGTGACCTCTGGTTTCTAAATTAGACAGCAAGATTAGCACTAATAAAGTGTATTTCCTTTCTGAGAGAAGGTGAGCAGATGGAGGCTGTAGCTACACATATGGGTTGAGTTGAGCAATGGAGGGTCTGAAGGCCATGCCCTTGTGTGGGAGCATTCCTGATAGGAATGACCTTGGGCTCCCCATTACAAGTCACAGGGGGTGTGATGGATGGGGCACCAGCACTGTGCACAGCATCTGATTCTGGACTGCACTTTGAGTTGTATGTGCCCCAGTGAAACAATCTGATTTAAAAGCTCCCAAAGCTGTGAAGGTTCACAGGCGCCTCTGATCTGTGCTTTGCCTCCCGCAGTAGCACAGAGCAACTGTGAGCACTGCAAAGCTTTGCTTCGCTCCTCTCTGCCCTCTCTTCCTGCACAGTACTGCTGGAGCTGTGCCTGTTGGGAAACTCAGCACAGTATGGCAGATAAAACTTGCATTCATCTGCATGACTCTGGCCTTGTCAGTGCCATGGCAACTTGAATAGTTTAGAATTTTTGCATCATTCATGCACTGTTGGTGCATGATTTACATAAGGCTGGATTCTGCTAAGTACAGTTTTACAGTTCTGGTTGGGAAGATGGTGCAAGTTTCTGATTTTTTCCTAGAACACACAACCCTCTGGTTTCTATTAGCCCACTTAATCTTTCTTTCATGTTTAATGGCAGTTTACAACAGAAGGTAGAAAAATGCCTGGAAGATGGTGTTCGGCTTCCTATGTTGGACACAAAACAGCTTCAGAGTGAGAATGAAAGTCTCAAGGAGAAGAATGAGAAAGCCAGTAAGGTTAGTCTACAAATAATCTGCTGGTGGCATCTTTAACCTTAAGTCCTGCACTTTTTTTTTTAATTTAGAAATAAATATCTCACTGAAGAATTACATATTTGTTGCTACTCAGATGACTTTTCAAGACCTGCCTGTCTCTGTTCAGAATATTGATTTTGCATGAATTTTGTGTTCTGTCAGAGTTGAACTGTCTTGTAGTTTGTTTTTTCAAAAATGCTATTTAGAATCTATGTCTGCACATCTGTAGGCTGATTTTTAGACAACGATCTGAAGAGATTCAAGCCTTCTAAATTGCTCAATTTTATATTCTAGATTATAGACAATCAACAAAATCAGATAACTGGACTGATTTTGGACATGCAGGTAAGGAATAGTTTATATTCTCTTGTTTACTGTGTGCATTTTTAGTTCACAAGAATGACATAGCTAGAGTTGAATTTTATTATTTTATCTTTCTGAATAGGAGTCACAGGGAGAAATGCCAAAAACTTAATCTACACACTGTAGTCAACCCATGTTCTCTTGCAGGCTCATGGTGTAGTCGTGTCTCTGTGGTTTAGCACTTCACTGGAACTCATCAAAAAGTGAAAAACTGTTGCTATGTTGCATCCTTATCCTGCTGGCCTAGTGGATCATCCAAAGTACAAAAGCAATGTTGCTTAGGGGCTTCATTGTTCAGTTTGTTAGAAGAGACAGGTGCCTTTCTAAATTACCTCACTTCATCCTGTTCAACTGCTTTCTGACACTTTGATACCTTAACTGTCCTGCTGGGTGTTCGGCACCCAGCTTGCAGCCAGAGATTTTTCTAGACAGCAGAGGTTGTCAGCTAGGAGTCAGCTGCAGCTCTATAGATCTGATTAAGAGAGTGTTGAAAGTTCCTCAGTGACTGCTGTTTGTTGTGGAGAAAAAGAAACATTAGACAGCTTTTAGAAAGGAAGGTATTTCTTGCCATAGAAAAAGCTGAGCATTTAAAAAAACTCAAAACATCTGTTTTCACCAAATATTGAAGCCAAACTCTAGTTTCCACGTTCCTCTTCTAGGATGTCATTTGTCTATTAAAAGTTGTCTCCCTCTGCCATGGTAAATAGGAGGCCTGATTCCTGTCAACAACCATATATTTGTTTGATTAGATTGCAGTGAATGAAATATGTCTGTAGAGAAGCAGTAGGAGAATTTAAGTTGCAACATGAGGTACATATGTTAACTGAAAAGGAAATTGACATATTTAGCTTCTCAAGGTTTGAAGAAGACTGATTTTAACAAACTGAGATGTTTGCATGGAGCAGACTGGTACGTGCAAAAATTGTGATACAGGCAAATAACAACAAAACCTGTGATACAATAAAACCTGTGATACAGGTGTTACATAATCAAAAAGAAGTTCAACTTGAACTTCATAACTTTTTGGAGGTTCTCTGTGCCTTTTTGTAGTTATTATTTACATATGTACTCCATATATATGTTGTGCTTATCAGAGATACACACAACTTGCTAAGTGTGTTATCATCAACCTAAATCTTTCCATGTTTCCTAAACTTTCTGGTCTTTTTTCTCACCATCACCTTTATTATCTTGGAACCAGTGATCTTCAGTGTTTTGTATGCTTAGCCTGACATGACTTTAGGGAGCTGGACTGGGAAATGCTGAATAGTTGTGACTGTCTGTGAACAGGGTACTGTTCTCCAGGACTTTCTCTTGCTTTTCCTCTTGAGGTATTTTATATGGGGACAGAAAATAAGATTTGAAAATGGTGTCAGCCCTCAAATTACTTGTAGACTCTAGGAGCTTCTTCGTATCCTTGATCTCCTGGCCTTCCATACTTTTGACCTGTGAAGCATTGAAAATCAGCTCATTAGAAATTGAAATCCTTTATCAGCACAGAGATGCAATTTATCTTCTGCTAAGATGATCTAATTTTATTCCCTGTCTTCTGCCACATTGTGAACTTATGCTTGGGAATGTATTTCAGTTCATTGGTTTTAACTTGCAAGCTGAAAACAAATTCCGTTTCAGACAGCAATTGTATAAAGCAGTATTAGTTTCTATTTGCTCATAATCATGGTGAAATTATTTTGATCTTCCTGGTATGGTTTTACTTCATTGATTTTTTGTTCTGAGTGAAAGGAATTAAAATTTTTGTTGGTCTTGGCAAGATGCTGTGCTGCATATATAGTGCATCTTTAGAAAGAGAAAAATTGTAGATGACAGTTGTGTTCTAAAAAGAAATTTATATTTACATGATTAATTTGGACATCACAAAACTAACAGTTTTGGTACAGAAAAAGAGAGTAGAAGTAAGTCAGATTGTACAATGCCTATGTTACCCAAGGTACGTCTGTCAATCTTGTCAGTCACAATAAACACCAACTGTGCCAGGCTGGGAATATTGCCACCAAATTGTAACTTTGGAAAGCATATGGAAAAATTAAGGGTGAAGTATGAGGAATTCATAGCACCATGAGAAACATGGAAATCTTAGCACTATAGGTCCAGTCAAGCTGTTAAGCATGTGTTCTTTTTCTGAGCTTTAAGATGAGGGTGACAGAGAATGACAGATCTTAGGTGTATCTTTTAAAAATAAACACTGATTTCTACTTCTAGTAGTTCCCATTACATGGAGCAGTTCTTGAGCTGGACATGTGCACATTGCATGGAATATTCTAAAAGTTGTTTTTTTGCTTAGTTTACAGACTCATGTAAGTTTAGTGGCAGATATAGTTTGAAAATATACTGGGAAAGGTTAATATTTCTCCCCCTGTCTTTCCTACCACCTCCCCCCTTCCAGAAGGCTGCACAGTCAAACCTTTTTTGTCTGTTGTTGACATGAACGTGAAACATGTCAGTGGTAGTCCTAGTGCATCTATCACAGCTGGGGCACTGGATGTCCCTGAACTTGATCTTCAACAATGACTGTTAAAATTGGAAGATATTTGGAAGCTGGGAGGGTGTTTTTGGCATTGCCCTGTTCACTTCATGCTTCTTAAGTATGACATCTGTATGCCACAGATGGAGCTTGAAGGACCTTCAGTCCAACCTAGTAATGGCGATTTTTCTCAGTAGATAATGTTTGTAAAAAATTAAAGACAACAATTCAACATCACTGCAGGTTCTGCTCATCTGCAAGCACGCAAAGGAAATGCCTGAAGCAGTTATTTCCTGCCCTCTCCTGGCCCAGGGTGTTTCCTTTGCCTCCTTCCTCCCACTGGTGTGTGTGGCTGTGCTTTCTCAAAGAGCTTATCTTTAGGATGCACGTTACTTCAGCACTTCCTTTGGAGGGGCACGCTGTGGGTTAAAAGAGCAGCAGGTCAAGTGTAGGAAAATGGTTTTAAAAACAAGTAATCATATCTGGGTTCTGCCTGCTCATTCCTACTGCTGACGTGAAAATAAAGTGTTGGGGGTTTCTTAGTCCACGTTAAGTCTGTAAATGTTAGCACCATTGTTTTCCAGTTTTGCAAAGAGTATGACAGAGTCCCCACTGCTTGTGTGGTGTTAGCTGACTGGGAAATTCTGTCAATGCTGCAACACCTCCTGTGACCAGCCAGGCCTTTAAAAACTTCAAGTAGTGTTGCCTCTCATTACTCCCTGCCTTCTCATCAGTACTGATAAATCTTACAGGTGGCAAGTCACAGCTGAAGAGATCTCTCTGTTGGAAAGCACCAGGAGTTTATATAGTGTCTATTCATTGTTAGTATTCAGATAAGATGGCTTGAATATTCCTCTTTCTGAATTTTGCCAGATAACCTGAAAAGACATATCTGCAGATTTACAAGCCAAGTAGTGGAATAAATATGAATACTTTCAAGAGTAAAGGCACCTGTGCTCATGCTGAATTCACCCTGAAAATTCCATTTGGGCAGTATCTTATGATTTCTCAGTTTGAGCTCTGTGAGTGAAAACTGGGGAATTGACAGCAAGTGATTCCATGTTGCAGTGGGTTTTTTTATTTGTTGTTGTTTAAGATCATTAACCTGCGTTTTCATTCATTTCAGTCTATGCAAGAGAAGCTTTCACAAGAAAAGCTGATAATTCAGAAGATGACAAATGAACTTGAGGAAAAAGAAAGACATATAGAGCAGCTCAATAAAACTCTCTCTGAAGTAAGTAAAATAGCACCAGTAACCCAACTCCCCACCACACCAGAGCCAGGAAGAACCTTATAGAATGATTATAAGATCCCTTGGTAAGGCTTTATGAGCTTAATTACATACTTAAATATCCTGGCTCCCATGCATATGTATAATGTATACCACCCCTGTCTCAAGAAGTGAGAGCTTAAAGGGTGAAGATGGCTAAGTAATGATAACGTGAAATGGCCGTATAAAAGCTGTCTGTATGTTGTTCTTTGGAGGGGTACAGAAATATTGATTGTATGTTTGGAGATTAATTATTTTTAATTGTACTATTTGTGGCTTGAAATTTTCTGCTACAGTGAATGCTGCAGACTAACTTTCCCCTTTTTTCCATTTGCTTTTCACAAAGAACCAAAGACTGATGGAAGAGAATGCCTGCCTGAAGGAGCAGATGAGGCTGGTGGAGCAGTCCAGGCAGCCAGTATCTGAGAAGATGCCTGTAGCAGACCAGTTGTTCAAGGAAATGTCCCACTGCTTGTTTGACTTGAAAGCACTGTGCAGTATTCTCACCCAGAGAGCTCAGGGCAAGGAGCCTAACCTTTCATTACTGCTGGGAATCAGATGTAAGTGATGTTGACTTTCCAGTGTTTAATAAATGTTTTGACACAAAGGAATAACAGTTTAGCTAATGTGGTGCTTGAACTTGCCAGGTGGACAAGCTTGTGTCCCCTTGCTATGCAGATGGGAGCAGTGGTGCATGAACTCATGGAGCTCCCTGGAAAAGCTGGGCTCTTAGTGCCTCTGGGCCACTACAGGCATGTGACCACACAGGTCCTTGCCAGTCAGGAGAGCAGGTAGCTGGCTCTTCATGTGGACCCAATCATGGATATGTTCACTGCTCTAGAAAAGAAAGGTGGTTGGCCAGGTGTCTTTCCCTCCCAAGACACACTGCAGTCACTGTGAGAGTTAAGAGATGCTAAACGCATCTTGTGCTTTTGCTTTAAAGCCTTTGGGGTCAAGTGATAGGACTGTCCATCTACTGCATGAATATGTATAGGTCTGGTTTGGGAGTGGGGATGTCCAGGTGTTTTAAATAAGCCTTGTGCCTGGTAACTTCATCTCTTGTGCTGTTCATTTACTAAGCTGTTAAATTTAACCAGGAAATGAGAAGCATGCCCTAAAGCCAGTCAGACAAAATTTATGTCAGGTCTTTCCTTCTAATAAGATGGTTGTGTTGACCTGAATGTATCATATTCAGATGTTTTCTCAGTGTTAATTAGAATTCATCAGGTAGACAGGTTGCCAAACTGAAGCATCAGCAAGGTAGAAACGTAAAGTACAGTGTTTGTGCAGCAAGAGCTGCTACACACCTGCTAGCCCTCTTTTCTGAGTGGCTGTAGAAACCCCTGAAGTCTCTAGAAATCTCTATTTATTTTTTTCCACTGCTGTTCTGATTCATCAGACTTCAGGAAGTCTAGATCTTGGTGCAGACAGAAAAGCATGTCTTTCAGAGAAGCGCTGATGGGCTCTGAATTGAGTTTTAAGTTCACATGGTACCTTATTTTGTAGACTTTTCATCACGCTGAAGCGTGATTTGTCTTGATGTATTTATAATGACCTGCCTCTTATTTCCAAGGAGGTGACCAGTTGCGGTAGTCACAGGACACAGCTGCTGGAGCTTTAACCTTGGGTGTTGTTTTTTGTAGCACTGAGCTGCTCATCTGAAGAGAGTGAAAATTACCACAGCACAGAGACCCTTTCGAAGAAGCTCTCGGACGTTTGCCAGCTGCGGAAGGAAATTGATGAGCTAAGGACGATCATGTCGGACCGTTACGCTCAGGACATGGGGGACAACTGCATCACTCAGTGACAGCACTCCGTCCTGTAGCGAATGACTTGCTAGGTCCTGCTGTGTCACAGGTCTTTGCATTTCCATTAAGGAGCCATATGGGAAGGCTGCAAATAGCACCAGACACGCATCTCCGAGGGCTGTGTGTAATGGATCTCGGGAGTCTGGTGTGCAGGGGGCAGTCATCGTGTGAACAGTGGTACAAACTGCAAGAAGTCTGTTCTCCAAACTACTGAATGTAGGAACAAGCTGTGAAGAATGATTCAGTTGGACGCTCTGTTTCCTTCATTTGGGCTCATTTTATTGCTTTGCCTAGGTTTTGGATCCAGAGCTTTGGAACAGCCGTGCTGCTACAACTCTGTCCTTTCCTTCATCAAGGGTTTGTGTGGCATTATCTGAGTTCAGATCTTAGGGGAGAGGGTTCAAGAACCTATGCATGTGTATGTCTGGCTGTACATGATGAAGCCAGAGGCTTCTGCCACTGCACTTCACTCTAAGAATTGCAATTAGAACAATCTTGGAACACTCAAAAAATAATTGCTCTCCAAGTTGTCAAAAATTAGGATATAAGAAAGATGTTTTTAGTAATGGATGTCTACTTTGTTTGTCCAGTAGCAGAAAAAACCCAGGTTTAACTCCTTTGTGCAAATGAGTCCCTAAAATATAGCTGTATCAGATAGTTTGAAATACTCTCATGCTGCTGTAAGAAGTTTCAATCGTTCAAAGTCTGTGACAAACCAGAGAAGCTGTAAGACATAAAACTGCAGCATATTCCATGGCTATAAGAAAAAAATCCCCAAAACAACCAGCAACTGTATTTTAGTGTTTGTGCTTATTTTTCCCCTTAGGTCCTTTCAATTTCCAAATGTTGCTGTATTTTGTTCCTGAAGGTCTCTCATAAAGGTTGTGCACCACCTCAGCCATTTTTAGCACGACTACAAAAAGGGTGTTTGACTCTTGGCAAAATTAAGGCTCAAAACAGAATGTTTCCAGTTAGCAGTACAAAATACTTGGTTATCTGAGGACTGAAAAATTTTCCACATTGTTTGGAAAGTCTTGATTTCTCCATTTTTGTAGGAAGCAGTTACATAAAATAGTAAGCTCATGTTCCATAGCTTATTCAATGAGTGTCACTTGGCAGTGCTCTTTAACTGCCATGGAACAGATGATGTTTCCAGGAACATCACTGCAAGTTAGTTGCACAGTTATGCATGGTGGGAAATAGTATTTAACTGAAGGAAACAAAAACTTGCAAAGAGTAAAACCACTTTTAAATCCCACTGTTAAGAAAAAAATACATGCATCACTTACTTGTATGGTATTGCAAGAAGGTTTCGGATCCTTAGGGTGCAAGTCAGTCAACTGATCTGGAGTGGGGATAACAGCAGAAATCTCTTGGAAAGCTTAGCAATTCAAACCAAGTTAATTCTAGGGTAACATTTTTATGGCAAAAGTGAATATTTCAGTTTTCTGATTTGGTGATGTGTTGCTTTCTGTTCATTGTTTAACAGTTACTGTTAAAATATAGAAATGTTGTTTCTATAATTTAGTGGTTTAATTGTTTTTAGCTGTATGGATTTATTTATTTGACAGTTTTCTCTGTCCTGAAAGTAGACTTGGACTAATTTGTGAAAAGTAGTGTTGCTATTTATATGACTGCTACATGCTGTTATCAGATAGATTAATCTGACTGGTTCTGCTCCTGTGAGCACTAAAACAGTGTCTAGATAAAATCACAAGTGAAGTTATCTAGTGTCTACTTCAAGGAAAAAAAACTAGGCCATTTTATTTTAAATTTCTGTGCTCTTTCTGTAGGCACACTTCAGTCTCTCCATCAGGGCATAATTTGCTCCAGTCTTCCTTGTCCTTCTCAGTGGTGTGATGCAGGTGGAGTTGAAAGTATAATTGTGCTCTTCTCATTGATATGATGAGTTCTGCTATGAGTGGGGAAAAGATGTTCTGAGCTAATCTGCATTCTTAGACTGCAAACAGATCAGTGGTTGTTGTCTAAAGGAATTATTTACTCTGGTAGCTCATTAACAATATCAATTCCACATTAATACACACCTGCATCAAAAGTGTGCTTTTGTACTAGTGCAAAACTGAAAACAAGGATCTTTGTACCAATGGGCTTGCACAGTTTGCTGTGCTTCTGACAGTGCTGGCTTTTGTGACTAAGGCTTCAGCTCGTTCCTCTGTTGTGGTTGGTTGGGTTTGTCCCTGCAGTGAAGTAGTCTTTATTTTATGGCATCTGTCTCCTACCAGAATTCAACAATAGCATTTCAGATAATAAATTAGAAATATTAGGGAGAGAGGAACCACACAAGTTACACATTATTGCTTCCTTAGATGGCAGTGTTGTACCTATAAAAAAATCACCAAAACCCACATAAATCTACATTTGATAGAATTAACAAGGAGTTTAATAGAGCAATTACAGGGGAGCAGGAGATCTTTTGAGTCACTTTGAACTGTTAAGCTTGTCACTTGGCTGGTATTTCTCCACTGTCCCTCCTGCTAAATTGTGATACTGTACTGCAAAGTTTATATTTGCCAAGCACTTCAGAGCTTTTATGCTCTTCAAGTATTAGTTGAAAGTCCCTCTGGGAGGAGATCCCATTTTATTCATAATACTTTTGATTGCAGTGCTGTAATCTTGTGTTCTAATGGTTTTGTTACAGAATCTGTAATATTTATGTTGACTTGAAAGCACTTGATTTAAAACCCCCTGAGTTTATCTGCCTCAGTCAAATTAAAGTAGGGAGGTAAATGATGGATGTGTGAGCCAAAGAAGCAGACTACCAATTGATTATTTACAGCGATACTGTACTTTGCTTTGATTTCTTAAAATTTGGCCTGTTGTAGTGGTAGCAATTACTATATATGCATCAGTTTACAGATGCCTCTAAATGGAATAAGCTTTGTCTAAGATATGCATGACTGTTTAATTGGTTAAAATGTAGTGTGTGTGGTCTCATTCAGCATATTTAATACAGAGGTGATTAACGAATGTTAACATTGGAATTGCTTCGATTTAGTCATGACAACTTTTTGCTGTAGCTATTAGACAATCCCAAGGGCTGAAAACAACTGCAGATGAATGGATACTGTACTGTTCTGGCTGCCAGCAAACTATACAGTAACATTTTGTACAGTTTCAGGTAGAATTTATATGATCCTCTAGAAGATACTTACAGTAACTACTGTATTTAAGAATGTATTTTGAAAAAGACATGAAAAGTAATCGTCATCCGTCAAGCTATAGCTGATGTATTCACTATATAGAAGTATTTACTATATAGAAGTAACACAGCTCAGTCATGTAAATGTGATTTGGGTTGCTGAACTCTGCTGTGCAGCTTTGTGGTGTGACAGGTGTGTGAAATTGTGGAGATTTGCTGTAACCACCCACTCAGGCTCCAGCATTTGAAACTGACGGTGGTCATGAAGTCATTCAAGAGCTGAAATTCCGTCCTTTTCACTTCAAAAGGTTTCCTTCCTTCCTTTGCCCTTGCTACCTGTCTTTTGTTTCATACATTTTTTTGGTTTTTCTTGGGAAGGGTAAGAGCGCAAGGAGAGGAAGAAAGCAAACCCTTTTCTCCATGACCTGCTGCTGTAGCACGGGCAGTGACAGCAAGCTGCGGTCTCTCCATCAGGGCATAATTTGCTCCAGTCTTCCTTGTCCTTCTCAGTGGTGTGATGCAGGCGCAGTTGGAAGTATAATTGTGCTCTTCTCAGTTCTACCATGAGTGGAGAAAAAATCTGAACTAATCTGCATTCTTGGACTGCAAACAGCTCAATGGTTGTTAATAAAGGGATGATTTATTCCAGTAGCTCATTAGCAATATTAATTCCACAGCTGCATACCTTTGTGCCTTTTTAGCCTGAAGTAAATGTATGTCTCCCTGGAACTTCAGATAAGTTGTTAGCGTGCTGATGACTGCACCTTGTTTTCTTCTCACCTGCCATTACTTTGTTAATAAGCTTTTTTAGTAGGAACTCCTGCATAATGTCTAGAAAAAGAAATACTGAAACTAGGTACTAGGTGTACACTTTGAATGTTAGGCTGGTTGTTGTATGCAGCTTCTTTGAATATGATGTGTGAGCAGGAAACACAAATCATAATGTGTTTTTTCTCTGTATATTAATTACAGTATATTATTAGTTCAGTGGGGAGGAGTGTCTGGAGCTCTTTTTTAAAAGCACAGCTGACATATGTACTGGATCAGTCCCTGAAGACTGGTAGTTTTGTAAATTGGGTTCAATTTTTGAACTGCTCAGAATACCTCATATGTAAATAGAGTTGTCATGACTTAATCACAATGTGTTCATTGTAAAAAGTAACGGAGCCACTGGCTGGCTCAGCTTTAGGCTTGTTGTTCTTGCCTCTTTTTGTAATTTTTTTTAAAGTAGGGTTTACAGCTAGAATTTTGAATGCCAAAGTTCTATTTATTAAATAATAATAAAAGTTTTCATTGTTAATGACTGGTATTTTTCCACTGGAATTTGTTTGTTGATGTTTGGGATTTGTATCCACAGAGCAGAAATAAATTTTGTTACAAAAGTGAATTTTTCACAGTTCTCATTTGTCCAGTATCTGGCATGTGACAGAAGTGATCAAAGCTGGAGGCAAGAAAGAAATCGTGAAACATCTTCCCAACACCCACCCCAGCTTCTCTTAAGAGGTCTGTTCTGCCGAAATACCAGTTGACCAAGGTCTCTCTTCCTGGCCTTATGTTTTGTTCTATTTTTTTCTAAATCAAGACCTTGATTTAAAACCTATTATTGCTGTATGATAAAAGGATTTTAGAGCAGCATTCCCTGATGGTGTTTTAGATAGATGCTTCTGTTGGCCATCTTGGATGCTGATCGGAGAGATCACAGGTCTTAAAAAGACTAAGCACAAGTTTAAAAAGACTAAGCACAGGTTTAAAAGACTAAGCACAAAATTACAGGCAGAAGTCAGTAATCCCTGCTGCATGAAATACTGCAGGTCACTACGGCCCAACACAACCCAGCAGCGCTGACTTCCATGTCAAGTTACTCTGAGGAAAAGTCAAAGGATAAGGATTTTAGTCAATCTGACAGGAGTCTTCGCAAGTGTAGAGGGAAGTGGGGTCACCCAAAAGGTTTTTTTTCACAGTTCCCTGGGATAAATCTTGGAACCTGTTTGGAGCATCAGGTGCTGAATGAGCTTTGCATGTAGAGTGGTGTCCTCCCTTCCTCACACTCCATCGTGCAGGGCACAAAAGCTGGCACTGGCTTTTCTTTTCAAAGGCACTGAGAAATGCACTCCAGTTAGGCAAAGCATTGTATATGGTAGACATCACTTGCTTTTCTCCAGCTTTGCGACTGAAGTTCGTGTGACGGGCTTCTAACTCAAAAACGTCCTGTGCCCTGTGTAAATACGGGTAACAGGCTGCACAGATGCCAGCTTTTCGTAGGTTGCTGAGGGTGGCCTTTTGTGAGCTGCTCAAAGTCAGGTTTTGTTTCAAAGTACAAAGACTAAAGTACTGCTAGCAGCTGTAGTGGTAGAAAATGTTCTGTTGCCTTTTATTCCACAAACAAAATACAGCTCCACATGTGGGCAAAAATGAAGCCTTAAACAATAACACTGCAAATAACACTGCAGCATCTTGAATGAGGACAATTTGCAGCAGGTAAATCTTCGGTACATTGCCTTCCTTATGTAAATTAAGTCTATGTGCCGGGTCGTTTGTTTTGTAAATGAATGGGTTCAGTATAGTTGGAAAATTTCCAAGTGGCAAGGTATGAACTATGTTTTTTAATTACATTTTAGTATGTGCGTATTTCTTTTCCGGCTTTGTGTCAGTTACTCCCCCTTTGGGGGCAGCTGCTGCTTTTCTCCTCCTTTTCTTGGTGTCACAGGTCTGAATTTCGTGGAGATAAAGGCGCGCTTCAAGTCATGGAGTCGGAGCCTGACTGTGGAAAACCTGATAGGTTCAGCTCATGTTTTGAGGTGCTTTGATGAGCAGTTTGGCAGCTCTCCTGAAGAATGCAACCTGTAGGTATTAATAGACCAGAAAATGGATTTAATGGCCTGTGTGCCTGCGAAAGCATTTGCCTGAAGGAAGGCAAAAGGAAACCATTGTATAGATCTGGTTGGGAAAAATGGTGTCTCCTGCTGGGAGACTGAATTGTGACACTAAATGTGGTTGTAAGAGAGTTTTCTGGCTGAAAACTCCTCCTGTGTGGGACCTGAATAGAATTTAATATCAAAAAAGCTTGTCTCCCCTACATTAAAACGTGGGAATGCAGGTAGCTGCCAGGGAGATGCCAAAACCCCTCCCAGACCGAACAGGTTTTGCTGAGTTTGAGGTGGCCCCAGGTGCCAAAGGAGGGAATTTCTGAGCCCCACTGCTGCCAGCCTGCGTTGGGCTGGGGGCTCAGCCGTATCCTGTCCTGGTGCTGGGCCAGCTCGCTGCCAGCCCGGCTCCCAGGGCTGAGCTCTCCCCTGTGGAGCATCAGGAGCCTCTCCCGGCACCAGAGCTGGT